CACCATGAAGAAGACCCGCAGCACAACCTTGCGGCGAGCCTGGCCTAGCGCGGATTTCTCGGACCGGGCCTCGGACCGCATGAGGTCCCGCAGCGAGAAGGACTACCGCCTGCACAAGCGCTTCCCCGCGGCCTTCGCGCCCCAGGCTTCGCGGGGCTACATGACATCAGGTTGGTAACCGCGTGGCTGCCCTCGGGCCTGGGCCGCGGGGCGGGCTCCCCGCGCCGTTCCCCTCCCGGGGTGCTGGCAGGGGAGGCCGGGCGCTGATGGATGCGATAAGTTATGGGGAAAGCAGGAAAAAAATTAGCTCACATCCACCATTTTGTACCTCCGCAAGATCCACAGCAGGCCCTCTCAATATGGGGTTGGAGAGCGATTAGTTAGGTAAAATAGGGAGGGGGCCGCGCCGGGCATTGGGGCTCCGGGGGGATGAATGCGCGCCAGCTGCGAGCAGCAGCCTCCCCGGGAGCTCGGTGGGGGAGCCTGCGCCCAGGGTCGCCCGCAGCCCCGGGCTGGCTGGCGCCTGCATTGTGGCCAGTTATCCCCGTGGGCATTTAAACAGCCCCCCTTCCGGGAAAGGGAGCAGGTTCCCTGCACAGGTCTGAATGGTTTGAGTCAGGGAAGAGCCCGCATACATTCCCGGTTCGGCCGTGTGCACGCAGCCAACTCTGTTGGAGCCCATTGAATGCGTTCTGTGGGGCATTGGTGTGTATGCGGATGGAGCGCTCACATGATTCTGTATGCATTTAACATAGGTTGCTTTGGGTTCGGCTGTGTGGAAAGAAGGGAGGCTGTATTGTGTCTTTGCATGTCAGACGGGAAGGGCAAACAAAACGGTGAATGGAGCCGAAGGCTTCGAAAAGGGCTGCATCTTAAAAGGCAGAGCCGGCCTAGGCGTTTCCGAAGGAGGCAGGTTCCCTGGGAAACACCACGGAAGGGCTTTGGTGTGTGACTCGGGAACCCAGGGATAAAGCCCCGAGGAAAGGCTGGAGGGAGGGAATGCTGGCGGCTCTCCTGGTTTTCTCCTGACTTAACGGTTGACCATGTGTGTGCAGTCATGTGCAAGACATCAGTTTTTGTTTGTTTTTCATCCCAGAAGAATTAATTTTCTTTGAAACACCGCGTAATGAAAGTACATCTAACCCCAGTCATTGCAAGTCCGGTCTTCACTGGGAAGGTTGCTTTAAGCTTGTGGTTGGTACTTAAGAGTCTCTAACCCTACTGTCTTCCTCCGAAAACAGCAAGTTTTAAAACACTGGGGCAGTATCTCATGCCGTAAAAATGTCTTGTGACCGCATTTCCCCGAATATAAGACCTAAATAAAATAACCATCGTTTTTTATTGCCAAACCTAGCGACATAAGGATGTTGGCACTAAGGCTCCCTGGGCTTTCTTTCATGAACAGCCAAATCTGCAAAGGAAGGGACAACTGCAGTTTGTACTTCAGTAATTTAAGTAATTGCAGCTGTGGTTGCTGTAGTCTTCTGACTCGTACGAGTCAATTTTGAAGCACACCTAAATCCAACCTCAAAACACATGGGTACGTGAACCCGTATCTGCACGGAGTGTTCAGGTGACCCAGGTTTGTGTGCGTAAGGGTTTGAATGGCTTCATTCCACACTGAACAGGGCAGTGCTCAGACCAAGTGTGAAGCTCCAGGAGGCAGGTGGCCATAATTCCCTCAACAGACCTGCAGGACTCTGGAATGATCTTGGGCACGTTCGCTCGGAGCCTGTTTTTGTTTGTCTTGGCCTAGCTTCGTTAGGATCACATTTTCATTCTTCCCTAAAGAACCTCTCCGCCGTGGCCAGTTCTGCCAGGCATTTTCACTTGATTCTCTCTCCTCATTTCATTTCTTGACCTGCAAATGGTAAGCACGGCGTAGGGTGATGTCGAAGGATACGCTGTCTCAGGCCGGTTGGTGGTTCTCTGTGCAGCTTCAGTGTTAGGTTGCTTCTGAGAAAAGAAACCCAAGAGGCGGGGTAAGAAGAGCTGTGCCGTTCATTCAGCGTTTTCTGGAAGTGCCCCCTCCCTGAGAGCCTTGCTAGATTCTTCTGGGGCTCCCGGATGGCTTATCACCTGGCTTTGTCCAGGGAGGAAGGGCTGTCGTTTATTCTTTATCTTAAATGTTAGCTGATGCGTGTAAGAAAAGGCGTTATCGCCAGTGGCAGGGAATTGTGAATGTTCAGACACCTACAGTGACCCCTGGGAGGGTAGGTGAAACCGTGGTCATATGCATCTTTATTTTTAGTTGGGGGCGGGGAGGATCTTATCAATTTCCTTTTCAAATATGGCTCCTTTCCAAATAGGAGCGTTGGCAGGAATAGATGGGGCATGGGGACACTTTGAGATCATTTACCGGTAGGTCTCTTTCTCTTAGGAAATGCAGAGGAAGTCCACTCGGGTCAGGTTAGTGACTCTAGATACAAACAGAACCTTTGTCACAGGAAATGGAGAAGGGAGCAGCTTGGGGACACAGGAGGCTTTCCATATTTCTGCTTTCTGTTGGTCCAGTCATTTAGCATGATGACTGCTGGTATCATCATACTTCACTGTGAGTAGAAAGAACTTTCTGTTGTTGGGTTCAGAGGATAAGGCAAGCCTCTTCAGAGATATACTAAATTAAATCACTTCACTGAGACTTTTTAGAAATCCCCCCGCCCCCCAACAAATATTCCTAAAAAACTCGGGGGAAACATGTGTTGCTGTTGTTTTTTTTAACTTTAGGTAAAGAGAGAGATCCTTGGAAATTTTATTAATAGTTGTTCTTGTGGTCTGGCGTCCCTATCACAGAGGAGGTACTTCAGGTTTTACTCTGTTTATTAAGGCAAAATTGCAGGCATTCCATAATAGCTTTCCAATGAGACAGCACCTTGTAAGCAGTCTTTTCTCCACTAATAAGTAATTACCAGTTTGAAATGTGATTTACAGCAATACCCTTGACATTTAGCCCATTTTTTGTTGTTGTTGTTGTTGTACAGCTTCAGGATAAACTACACTTAAGCTCTAGAGGTTGGAGTAGACACCTTTAAAACTTAAAAATATCCTGCGAAGGACAGTTAGAGGATTCTGAAACTTTAAATCTTCCCGGCCAGGCCTTATATGACAGTGAAAGCCCCCGATTGGTGCTGCCAAATCAAAAATAAACCTAAGCATTCACAGGCCTCCTGGCAACCAGCAAGTTCACAGGCCACGCGATGAGTTCATTGTTCATCTTGAAGATGAATTTCCCAATGAGAGTTTCTGGGTAGAAGGGTGTGTGTGTGTGGGGCGGGGGGGAAGTCTTGCCTTTTGTTCAGATCAAGATGAATAATCGAAGAAGAGAAGGGGGTAGAGCCAATGTATGTGGGATCATTCTTCCTCATTTGCTAAAACGAGAGGTGAAAGTAAAACTCCCCACGCAGGGGGCACTGTCTGTGGTCCTCAGAGCTGTACAGAGGGAAACATGCTCATGTGCCTCCGTGGGATGGTTTTCATGGCCCGGAGCCTTTTGCTGATCCCGTGTTAGAACTGTGTGAACTTTGACCCCTTGGCACAAATGATGCTATTAACTCTTCACTGTACTCCCGGTCCCCTTCCCTAGCCCTGAGGCTGGTGCTCCTTCACATCCCACATGTAATGTCACCAGGTTTGGGCATTCTATTGGTCAAGATTGGAAAGCGGTTTTCCACTATAATGTTCTACGGAGCCTGTTCATAAAAAGTGTTGCTTATGAAGGAGACACCGTCCCCCCCTCCCCCCAATCATGGCACTTTTAGTTTGATATTTGCCACTTTAAAGAGCAATGAAGCACTTTTCATAATATTGTTTTAAAGGATTTGAAAAGATGAAATAAAACCCCCCAAACTGACATATTAAGACAAGGTAAATCCGGTTTATTTGTCCCCCCCCCCCCCCTAAAAACCCCCCCCCCCATTGATCTATTATAAACAGAGGGAGGACTGGGCAGCACACCACCTTCATTAGTTTATTAGTTTTCATTTTATAGAAATGAGTTCTGGGGCACCGTTGATAGTGTCCCAGTTCCTCGTGTCCTGTTATTTTAAGAGATGGGGGTGGAGGGAATTTTCTGAGAGCGGAGAATGGACAGCGAGGTTCTGATCTGGGCCTGCCACGAACCAGCTGTGCTCCTGGCGAGTCACATGACCCCCTCCCGTCTGGACAGGTCCCCCAGGTCCACACTCCCATTACAGAACCGCCTGGGCAGGGGCTCTGTAATGAGCCGGCGTGGGGTTTCCAAGCACTTACACAGAAAACGTTAGGCATGACCTCTGCCCTTTCTGCTTATTGGAGTCATGTGCCTCTGTATGTGGGGGCATGTGGGGAAAATGCTCATTTTGCAAAGGAATCCTACTTCCTGTCTTCCCCAAACGTTGCAGTAACTATCTGCACCTTAGGGCCTGTCCTGGTGGCCAGGGGACTGGTGTGGGGACATGAGGGGTAAACACCTGGCAAGTTGCAATCATATACACGTTTCCATAAACAGCATCCTGTAGCCTTCGCTTCCCTCTTTGCTCTCAGAGATCCGTTTTCAGCCTGGCTGCCCTGGCCGGGTTTTAATTTGAAACTACCTGTGTTGACTGCTTTCACCAGGCAAGCGGACGTGAGGGATATTGCACGTGGTGGTGAATGGCTTTATTCTTTATTTCCCAGGGGAACACTGTGCTTACCAAAGGTCACCTCCCTGGGTGTTTCAATGCCTTTTACACTCTGGTGAGCTTTTTTTATTCGAAAAAAGGAATATGAGTATATTGTATGAAACCCTGAGCATTTTTACACCTCCGGAGCAATTCTGGCTTCAACTCCCTGTACCCTGGAGAGTCGGGACAGTTCAGACAATGGTATGTTCTTTGGTACAGGATCGAGTATGCTCAGTGCAGGTAGAACCCAGAAGCAACATCTGGTGAGATCTTCGCGGCTGGGACGATTTGCTGACGCGGGAATTTGGGACAGGCTTTCGTAGGTCCATCCTGGACACCTGTGTGTGCCTAATCTATACGGTATAAAGTAGAGGTTCTAGTAGTTTGTAAGGATATAGACTCTAGTCAACTCTTGATTAACCTTAGTCATGGCCACGCAAGAAGGAGATGACATGGGTAATTTTGTAAGTTGATAATAAACTCTCCCTTAAGTAGTTCATCCCTAGACTATTTTTATTTGACAGTGGAAT